GATTCCAGGAAAATGAGGATTTTATTTCAATCTTTCCATCCTTGGATTAGCCTGGGCTTTCTGCACAGCCTGGGAGCATGTGCATATATGACTGCTGGCATTACTGAATTCTGGCAACCCAAATGATCCTCATTTAACAAGGGCAGCTACAATGATTTGCAGTTATGCAGTGCTTAGCTGCTAGAAGCCATCTCTGACAGAGTATTTATATCCATGTAGTTCACGAATGTAGCTCAAATCTATTTAACTCCTTGCTATTGGTATAATTTAGTACTAGTGCAAAGAACAAATTCAGTAATGCATGCATATAACATTAAGAGTTGAAAGCTGTGAGTCATTTTACTAAGGGCCTAACAATATTAGTGATTGAAACCTGTTGATGAGTATCTGTGCTGCAGCAGCAGCCCCAGAAGCAACTCTTACACATATGGGTAAAGCCAGTGGGGCATTTCTAAATTACAGCCTCTCAAATACCAAGCATTAGACTCCTTGATTCCATAGGTTGTGTATTTCACTGATAGATTGCTACTGAACTGCCAAACTGGACCTCTGTTCAACTTCTCCATCTATAAGTTGAACCCAAGAGTCTGGAAAGACCTCTTTCCCAATTTGTCCCTGACAGAGAGAAGGGGCTCAGGGAAAATGCTAAGTTTTGATCAAAATGTGGCCATAGACACTTGCTCAGACACATAGTTGGTATGAATTCACTTGAAAACTCTGTTTTAAGGTCCATTAAAAAAATCAAACTATAAAATTTGGTTGGGTTTTATTATGTATAAGTGTGTTTTCCTTAGTTCATTGCAATGTCACCTAGAGAAGCATAGAGTGAGAAGAGAGAAACAGATCTGTACCAGAAACTCATATGATAAATGTTTCTGAAGACATTTAACTCATTCCCCTGATCCTAGGCAAAATATGCATTGAGAGTTCCATCTGATGGGTGCCAACATCCTCTTTTATTTCCAATAGTCATCCCTTGACCATGACTCATAGAAAAATAATCAGTTTTAGCTAAACTCATAGAAAAGTAACCGGTTTTAGCTAGATTGCAACAAATGAAGTCTATATATCAGATCTGAAATCAGATCTGGTTGCCATGCCAGGGCGTATACCACCCTCTTTTAGCATACATTCTAGCATCTACACATCACATCTGCACTTCCAGCAGTGATGTTAGACAGGAGATATATATATACACATATGTATATATATATATATATATATATATATATATGTATATATATGATGCCATTGCCTTAGGTCTATATTTTGAGTAATATTTGCTTCAATGCCAGATGAAATTAAGCAAAAAGGTGAATCCAGCACTTGGACAACACTTTTGCCACTTCTGATCAATGGGGATCAGCCTCATGTGCCAAGGGCCAAATGCTATACCGCTCTCTAGAAAGTCAAAAGAGAATGAATTTCAATTGTTCATAAAAGCAATTTGCCCCCACCCTGTTCCACCAACCCCAACTCCCACCCTAACCAAATATATTTCAATTACATCAAATTTTTCATGTTTCTTTTTCATGGCTGTCCTACCTTTCAGAGATTGTGTATAACTTTCTCTCCAAATGAAAGGAAACTGAATGATTTGGTCTTCAAAGGGCGGAAAGGGAATAAACACACACCATTGCACTGCCACTGTAATGGTGTCTTTCCTCTTGGCAACTGTATAACAGCATTCTTACCTTCAGGCTTTTCATCCCTGTGGCTCTTTCTGTAGCTGTGGTGTTGGACATTTGACCATTATTTGTCAATAAGAAACACATTCATGTTAACAGGATAACGCTAAAGGCAATAGTAGTGTCCTAATCATAGAAACCATGTTAATGCCACAGTCAATTTTTATAGAAATCATTAGAATGGAATTATTTTAAAAAATGTTTTCTTTCTGGATTACATTTTTTTCCGGTGGTGGAATTTATTCTTTAACATCATTTGGCAAAATCAATGGTTTTGGCAGCCACTGGACTGGTTCAGTTCTTAAGGTAACAGGTCTCTTGCTTGAAGCAGCCACGTGAGAGAAAGTGAGGATTTGCTCTTGGGAAGAAGACCTGAGTAAGTTCAAGGAGCAAATTTAGTGACTACCAGGAAAGAAAACTGTCAGGTTCTTCTTACTTCCAGGAGGCAGTACCAGCATAGAATCATGCAAACCAACGAAGAGTGTAATATACTCACCCTACTCCTCGATCCCAAACCAGAGTCTTGGGGATTCACAGGAACTTCTGCTAAGACCCAGGAAGTGCCATCGATCTGTAATGATTCTTGCCTACACACATAACAGTGTCAATAAAGAGTCATTGGGATCCATCTTAACCCTGAGTATCCGAAATGTCTACCTTCAGGGATGGCTCCCGCCAATAAAAGGTCCATTTTGTTGCAGGTAAAGGCAGATGCAGATTCATATCCATTACCCATGGCCCAAGAAAGTCAAAGAATTCTGGGTGTGGAAGAGAAGTGGTTAAGAGACGGTGCATAGGAGAGGAGAATTGTAGACATACATGGAAGAAGAAGAAATACACACAAAACTGAAGATCTCATTTGCACCAATGAGAAATACAGTACAACCTCATTCATTTATGTTCTGCCAAATATGAAGCTGAGGGATTTTGGAAATGGGCTGTCTGAGAGTATAACTTTTTACTATCTTTGAATAGGACGCTTGCTAAGCAAATGCATGGGATTAAAAAAAAAAAAAAAAACAAAGATAGCTAGTGATAGGGAGGAGGAACATGTTTTAATTTCTTCAGAGAACAAACTCTTTTTAGGTAGCTTGAGAGCACCTATGTGAAAGGAAACACAACTGATTTTAATTGCAGGTATTTTTTTGGAAACAATTTAAACAAATTTCCTAAGTTTTTTTCTAGCATCACATTGGTCAGTTTATTCTAGTTCCTATATATTTTTGAAGATATAGTAAAACTGCATTTCTCTGTCAATATGCTATTAGTCATAACGAGCATCTTACCATTTATTGAAATAATGGAGGTTCAATTGCACAGCCCATCCTCCTCCCTCATTTCCTTATATGCCTTTCAAGTTAAGGCACCCACCTATCCTATAATTCTCATTGCAGTCAAGGGGTTCAGAATGGTCCCTTTAAATATTCTGTTCCAATGTTGCCAAGAGCACACATGTGCTGATTTTCATCATGGCATATATGGACACTGGGAGTTTATTTTAATCCCTAGAGAGAACTAAAGTCTGGTATAATTCTAGGGTGAAGTTGGGTAGAGTTTGTAAGAACTTTCCACCTCAGTCACAAATAACTTGTTTCACTGACCCTACACTCTGTAGTAAGGTAAGGCTAGATGGGAAAGTCAAGCTGGTGCCCTTTACCCAAGATTAAGGGAATGAAGTAGGGTGGATGGGGGGATAAGAACATAAATGTTTGAGGAGACAGGCAGCTGCAGAAGGAGGCTGATGTGCCTATGTGGTAGTTCTGCAAATAAATCCCCTATTCTGCTGTGATTTACAACGATAGACTTTCACTGGCTATGTCACAAACCCCTGGTGATCTGGGTTTATCATTGAAACAACCTACTGGCTCTTAATTACTGCATTTGCATACACATTATAATAAGGCATGAACACAAAAGGGTGATTTGCAGGTTAAAAATTCACAAACCACGGCTCTAATTTACATGATTCTTGCATGTGCATTTACAGTTCATCAAGAAACGATCAAGTCTGTTTTGTTTAGGTCTTATTAGCTCAGGTTTGGGAAATTTGTAAAACCAAGGAGTATTCTGGTTCCAGCATGTAAGTCTGGTTCAGGAGCTGCCTCAGAGACTGACCTGGTTCTTAATCCCTTGTATCCGTAGAAATAAAATAAAATAAAATAATAAAATATTAGTTTTATTAGTTTAAGCTCATGTACATTTACAATAGCCTGAAAATTTGCTGTTTATTTCCATAGTATGGTGACTTTTCTAGACTAATCTCAGAATGTATAATGTCTCATGTCAGGGAAGAAAAAGTCAATGCCTTAACATAATTGCCCATTTATCATTATTTAAAGGTTGCAAGAGAGAGAGAGACAGAAAGATAAGTGATACAGGTATTTCTCCCTCTCCTGGTTTCAGAGATAATAGGCCTGAAAGTATTTTGAAAAAGCAAAAGCACTTATAAATGTCAGGCGTTGTGATTATTGTCATTTTTAGTAATCAGTACTGAGGGCTGGAACAGCTAAAATATGCCATGTGCCTAGTAACAAGGTAGTTGTGAATAAACCTGATTCTTATGGAAACGTATCACATGCAATCAGATTCACATTTCTCATTGGATAGGTGGTAGTGCTAAAATGCCATCTGCAATATTATCACAAGTGGTGACTCTGGAAGTCAGCAGCTATTTGTGACAGCATTAGCTGTGTGACCTTCTCAAAGTCATCACCATCTCTGAATCTTACTTTCTCTGTGAAATGTTGGTATATTCAACAGACAACTGTCATGTTAATGAGATGGGACACAGTGAAGAAGTGTAAATCTCAAGCTATTTTGCTAATACAGTAAAACCTTACTGATTTGGAGGAACAGAGGGAAAGGATTGTCTGAATGAGTAAAGCAAGTCCTGTATTACAAAATAGGTTTGAAGAATGACAATGTTATTACTTTAAGTCTATTTTGTAATTCAAATTGACTATAAAACATTGCCTTAGTGGAGATTCTAGTGAGAACTACTTTAGCAGATAGATATGTAACGAATATGATTATATCTAATAAGTGATTCCAACATTGGAAAAGCGTTTGTTCTCAAGAAAAAATTCAACTGACATTCCAGTTTAAACTCTTCATTTGCTTAACAAACCTTTATTGTCCCCATGCCTGATAATATAAAGTTAACTTGTAGAGTGGTCCCTGTCTAGTTTATCACAAATTATTAGAGGGCTCCAAATTAATGAGGTTTTACTGCCATTTCTACCTCCTTCTCCATTTTTTTTTTTTTTTTAGCATCACTAACAAGTAGTGGTAACCAGATTCAAGTTCATCTCTTGCCCCTTCTCTTGCTCACTCTCAGAAAACAGCAGGCAGCAAGAAGGAAGAAGATAAAGGCAAGCTTCTTGGTAATCCAGAAATGGAATAAGCAATCGTTGGGTATGCAGCACTGATCATACTATTATCCATAGTTGAGAAAAGGGTTGACTTATTTCAAAAGACTGGCTGTAGGAATGGCCAAGAAAAACGATTTGGAAGATGCCTGGCAGGTAGCACTACGGTTAGAGAAGTTGAAAACATTTAGGATCTACTGAAATATTTTTCTATTTGCATATCAAAATTCAGCTAATCTGGAAATCGTGAGCTGTCAATAAAGTTACTTGGTAAAAAACTTTGCAGCAGTACTAGCTGAGGAAAAAAAGCTTGATTGCTGGTTGTAATTTTAAAATAGCTGGTCTAAAGTTTTGGGGTCTTCATGTGCCAAAACATCTGGGTGAAAAGTAAAAATTCGGCCAAATACGTGCAGATTTTTTTGTTTATGTAACATCAAACGTCTGGTTATCTGAAAACTTCTGGGCACTTGGCATCATGTGGATGTTTTAGAGTCATCTTGTTACAGTCCATGGCTCCTTTTTAACCATGATGAGTGTAATGATGAATTCATGAGAGCAATGCATCCAATCCAGCTCAATTTTCACTCTGCAACTCACTTCAATGATACAATTAGGTGCTCCGTGCTAATAACATGAGACAAAGACTGGGAAGAAAGTGCTAAATACTTTGGCCGTCAAGTTGGCCACTATAAAAATCAAATGAGCCAAGAGCTTGGCGAAATTGTCAATGTCATCAGTTCACACTGGTGGGAAAGAAAGTTACTGCTTTTTGACACATAGTAAAACCTTGATTAATTGGAATCCATAAGGGATGAATGGAATTTTCAATAAGAATACTCATTTTGTTCATTCTTGGCTAATAACATTTTTTCTTAAAGTGCTTGTATCTACTTTCTTGCTTCAGGGAAGCAGCCTCTAACGTTTGAGGGTCAATCCAGATGGAGAGAAGATATAGGAGAAAGAGCCGAATGTGACCCAACCACAGGCCGCCTCTTGGTAAGTAATTTTTTGAAAAATCAATTTCTTGCAGTCTTCTTTTATGGAATACTATTGCTGCTTTCTCATCAATGTGGAGTACTGAGAGGGCAATTCAGTTAGTTGGGGTACTGGTTAGGTGAGTTCTGGTTAATCAAGGTTTTACAATAAAAGGCCATGCCAATGCCTGGTAAGATTGTTTGCTGAAGAAAGTTCTTTTAAAATTTATTTCTTTGAAAGTGCTCTGGATCAGTGTTTCCAAACCCATATTGTATTTGCAGACTGGCAAACTAACTTTTCCATCAGGATCCTGAGGGATAGAGAGGGAAAGAGAGGAGCAGAAGTGCAACCATTGTCTTTGAAGAAGAAAAGTTTTGGCTTGCCTGTCTGTTGGTCTGTGGTTGGGAAACACTGTTCTTCACCTTAAGATGCCCATGGGATCTTGGTCGTACAAGAGGTGATTTTGCATGCTTCAATATAATTCTCATGCCCCTTGGGCCATGGAGGATTCTGTTTTCAGGTCCTCTCCTGTACTTACCCCAAGTGTCTTTCCATGACTTGGTATTGTGGCTTCGGAGTTTGCCCCTATTTCTTGTTGCTTGGATGATGGCTATTCATTCATTCTAGCTCCAAAGGGCATTAGAAGCCAAAGGAATGCCAAGTAAGATGGGTTTTCTCATGATGGCAGCCTGGATAACAATTAGACCTACCTGAACCAAGAACATGGCTAAGGAGAAGCCAAATCAGGAATTTATACACACATATAGTATCACAGTTAGGCGACGCACTTGCTTAAATACACAAAATCTCTTTGCAAAGTCTCTATATGGGGTGGCCTATTGAAGAAAGACCCCATTTAACTTGAAACCGAGCTTGTTATTTGGCTTTCAAGTTAAGTGGGGCCTGCTTAAATGGGCTATCACATATAGAGAACAACATCTCATCACTCAGACACATAATTGAAGAAGCCACCCTTGCTCAACCAACCAACCTCTGTGAGCAGCCATCACAACCTAGAAAAAAAAAGGCTATGCCCTGACTTTTCAGTAGATGGATCTGATTTTTCATACCACTCAACTGAGGCAGGCGGGGACAGTCTCACAGGAAAGCCTTGGACTCTTGAAAGCCTAGGGCATTGAAACCCACATCATGGCCTTCATAATGCAACCAATCTGGTGGGTGAAGGAAGGGAAAGGGTGTGGTTGGAGCCTCTGTCTGGGAGTTTAAGAAGGGACCCAAGTTAGATCAAAAATGTGGGCAGTGCCCTAAAGTCCTTTTGGTTCCCAAAGCTGCCAGGCAGGGGAATAACCTGGTCATTCCACTTTATGTGTGAGTCTTGTGCTCTCTCCTCAATAATAAGATAACAGTCTTGCCGATTACTCGTCACTAAGGGTACCCGGTTGTGGTGACATTGAGGCTGACCTTGGAGTCACCGCCCCCGCTGCCGCACTCTCCTTTGTCGTACCACCATTTGTTTTTCAATTTGTCCAAGAGGCCTTGCTCATTCAGTTTTAATACTGCCAGGTTAACAGCATTTCTTGAAACGATAAAACATAACTTGTAAGAAAATGCACAAATGCTTAGGAAATCGTTAACGTATAAAAAGGAGCACAAGAGGACAAATTGGCTAAATTTCACAGAACGTGGAGCTATAAAAATGTCTGTACAGCAAATACAGGGTTAAATATTGGAAGGTGGCATGGAGGATAACATTTGCTCAAAACTGAAGTGTGCGGGATGGGGAAATTGTCTTTGAGAAAAAAAGTAACAAGAACACCACATCCATGCAATTAACATTCGTCACATATGGCACCATAACTTGGCTTTTACCATTTAAATTGAAAAAGCCGTTGAACTGTAAAATTAAAACAGCAACAAACAGTCAGAGAGGACAACACAGAGAGAGAACATTAAAAAAAATGGATGCATTAAATAGATGAAACCATAATTTACCGTCTTATTTAACTCCATGGAATATTGTAGATTTTAAACTTTTAAAAGTTACCTCAAAATCCACAAGAAAGAAAATGACAACAAAATGCATCAGGGTAGGTGGAATACTATAACAACACGGATATTGTTATATTATTCCACCCACCTTAATGCTGAGCCTTTAGGGGTTGCCACACCATAGCCTTTGGAATCCAGATTTCCACCAACTTTCATCGTATCACATGGTTTTCTCTGCTCAATGTACTCATTCATGGTTGACTCCAGCAGGAAGGCGAACTTTCCCTTGGACTTTCGCACTCGGGCCACTCCGTCTGCTGTTGTTTTGGTAAACACAGATGGCTCTGCTGATTTCATGTAAGACCACATTTTCTCGTACACAGCAATTTTGGATCTCTGCACCAAAAAGATAAGAGCTCTTAGAGCTGCCAGATATTCAATCTGGAGGAGGGCTTAGTGCAGTAGTTTTTTAAATTGCAATTCGCAGTAATAAAAAACACGTTACACTGCAACCTAGTAGACACAGTCATACATATGTAAACATATTTCCAAAACAAGTTTCAAAAACCACACTCACCCTTGTTATGTGTGATGCTCTCTGATATTTTCTATTCTATTGGAATTCATTTAAAACAACGTTGCTCAGGACCCACTAAATTGATTTCATGTCCCATCTAATTGGTTACAGTCTGGTTTGAAAAACATTTTCTTAGTTTAATCTTCCTCTCAATGAAAAAATATTCTCTACAATATCCTGCTATGTTTATCTAATCATAGCAGAATATGCCTAATCAAAGACCATTGTAAGGTAGTGTATAGCCATTTTAGTCAGCCCACTCCAGCATGGGACATCAATCTTTGTAAGAAAGTACTGCCTTATTCTGAGCTAATCTTTGTTTTCCTATACTCTCATTCCTTTTTACAATTTCAGCTTTTATTTTAGACACAGGGGGTACATTTGCAAATATGTTACATAGGAATATTGTGTGATGTTAAGGTTTGGAGTATGGATCCGGTCACCTAGGTAGTGAATATTGTATTCAATAGGTAGTATTTTAATTCACTCCCTCCACCCCCTAGTACTATCCACTAGAGCTATATACAATAATTCTGTCCTTTTGTACAATGGTTCTTTTTTTTAACGTACAATGGTTCTTTAATTATTGAAAGGCTTTTATTATGTCCCCTTCTCATCCTTCATCAGGTGAAACTCTACTCACTGATATTGTTTCCAGAACTCTGACAACTTTGGTTTTCCACTCCTAGGCACATTCTAGTTGGTAACGTCTGTCTCTCATTGTAGTGTATAGAAACAGACACAGTACCCCAAATAAATGGCCAAAACAGAATGAAAACAACAAACAATCTTATCATTTTGGAGCATTATTTTCTTTTTTTCTTTCTTTTTTTTTTTTTTAGAAACAGGTTCTCACTCTCTTGCCCAGGCTGGAGTGCAGTGGTGCAATCTTAGTTAACTGCAGCCGTGACCTCTCAGACTCAAATGATCCTCCTGCATCAGCCTCCTGAATACCTGGAACTACAAGTGTGCACCACCAAACCCAGCTAATTTTGTTAATTTCTTTTTGGTAGGGATGAGGTCTCACTATGTTGCCCAGGCTGGCCTCAAACTCCTGGGCTCAAGTGAATCTCCCCCATCAGCCTCCCAAAGTGTTGGGATCACAGGCGTGAGCACCTGGCCTGGAGCATTACTTTCTACCAATGCTGCTTAAGTTTGCATTAATGTATTTAGTCATTCATCTATCCTTTCAAGAAATATTTATTTATTGAGAAGCACTGGAAGAATATAATAGAGTGAACAGAGTCTTTCCCTCAACTCAGGTTGAGGCCAAACCAAAACTTAGTTCTGCCAAGTCAAGTCTCTCTCATCTTTACCTTTTGGAATTTTGCATATAATTCCACTAAATTTTGTATCAACTGGGGTAGTCCCTAGAACATGTATTAAATGCTTATTGTGTCTCTAGCCCTATGTTAGTCATTCTGGAGAATATATTAAAAAGTTGTAGACTCAATGACTCAAAAACTCCCAATTGAGGTGGGAGCTAGGTCCTCAGGAATGAAAATCGTAGAAAAAAATTCTAAGGTGATACTTGACCGGAGGTCGAGATAGCATGGCAGGAACGATAAACGTATACTATGTTTTCAAATGTCTTTTTGTGGGGTTTCCTGACCCCCACCCCAGATTTCTTGATTATTTATTTATTTGCTCTTCCCTGGACTTTGGCTGGCTACGTTGCATCTTTCTTGGGGCCTGCTTGGACCTGCCCAAGTAATTCCAGAGGGGATGGAACTTCCAGAGCTATCACCATGGACTCAAATTGCTGGCCTCAAGCAGTCCTTCCACCTTCACCTGGCAAAGTGCTGGAATTACTGGGGTGAGCCACTTTGCCCAGCTGGATCACCATGGACATTAAGCATTGTGTTTATGGCAATCAGACCCTCATGGAGGAGTCGCTGAAACTGTTCACTGAGATGGGGACACATTTGATTTGCACAAATTGTAGCAAAAGAAGCCACTGACACTGAAATTAAATGAGAAAAAGGGAGAGTGGTAGGAAATGAGCTTAGGAGGATAATCAGAGGCCAGATCTTGTAGAGCCCTGGAGGTCATGGTAAAAAGTTTGGATTTATTCTTCCTGTTATAGGAAACTATTGGAAGATTTTGAGGAGGGGTGTGATAAGATCTTAGTTAAAATTTTAATGGATTACTCTGACTGCCATTTGGAGAACAGACTATAAGGTGGGTCAGAGTAGAAGAAAGGGAAATTAGTTAGGGGGCAATTCTAATAGTCCAGAGGAGAGATGATTGTGGCTGGCGCTAGTGTGGGAGCCATGGAGATGGAAAGAGGAGGATGGATTCCAGATGTATTTTGGGGAGATAGCAAACAAGCCCTGCTGATGGACATCTCCACCTGATGGGCCTACAGACATTTTCAGATTAAGCTTTTCCAAACCAAATCTATATTATCCACTTTGTAAAGCCTGGGTTTCCTTCTACATTCTATCAGTAAACCACCCAACCTCCAAGCTAGAGGGTTTGGTTTTACTTTTCC